AACACGATAATATTGTGTCAAATTACGCAATTGTCTGAACAAAAATATAGACTAGCCATACCTTTCGCCGAAAATAACTTCGGCCCCTTCGAACATATCGTCTTTGTAATAGTCTTGTTCGAATCCCCATCAAAAACACTATTTAGAGTGTTATTTGCAAGCCGGTATCTTCAAATCTGTATCTTTTATAAATATATTTCCATTTCTTGTCCGACTGTGAGCTTGAAGTGAGTTAATCCCAACCGGAAATACGACGAAAATCGTCAAAACAATGCGACGTTTGTATCGTATGAGCCTGGAAAGTGGTTCGCAACGTCAAATTGCACCTACACGCGTGAGTTTGACGTCATCCCGGCCACAGGGAGCTTCTTGTTGGCCAATTATTGCGCAATGTCCGCAAGTGCGAGTAAAACCCGACATCTTGAAAAATTCAAAATAAATATTTCTGCTCGCCGTATCCAAACAAAATTTTCTACACGAAAGCGCTTGAATACGAAGAGTATTTTACACATATAGCCGTTCAGCAAATGTCGAAAAGTTCAAGGGGTATTCAAGTTCCTGTGGATATGAAATTTAGAATCTTTGGCCAAGCGGTGAGTAAATATATGATTGTTTCGGTTTGTGTAATGTTCTGACGGCACTTGACGCCCCGTTCGAAAGGTTATTTTGTGAGTATTTACCCCCCCCCCCTCTTTTATTTAAAAGGGGGGTAAATACTCGCCGAGATATTTATTTTTGAAAAATTGTGTCGTAATATGATGCGAAAGGGGGTGGACGAGAAAGAGTTTTTAAGAAGTTAAAAATTTATGTGGTTCAAATTTATGGCTGGAGTCACTTTTGCCTTCCATTACCGCTATCACTACCTCGCGCTGACCTGGTTTGCATGTAAGTGGTCCGTGGTTTCTAACTAGTGGTGGTGGTGGTGGTGGTGGTGGTGGTGGTGGTGGTGGTGGTGGGGGTAAAAACTGAACCTCACAAATAATTTCACAGTAGTGTAGTTATGTATTTATTCTTGCATGTTTTATATAGTATATACACTCTAAAAACACTCTGGTTAAATTTGGGTTAATTCAACCAGTACGGGGTTAAAAATCCACCAACACAAGTCTGGTTAAAAAAAATTAACCATTTTCCTGGTTAAAAGTCCAAAAAAGTGTACCAAATTTTTGTTGAATTGATAATTTTTAACCAGGAAATGGGTTAAATTTAACCAGAATGTGTTGGGTGGATTATTAACCCAATTCCTGGTTGAATTTAACCAGAGTGTTTTTAGAGTGTAGGCCTGTAAAATCAGTATTTACGTTGTCCAGTTTGAAATCCGTAATATGTCGTGTGTTAGATGGATGGACTTAGTATGGGATTTTAGTTCTGTTGTCCAATCCTTCAATTATAGCTGTAGGTGTATTTTTTTATATAATACGATTGTAAAGTTAATAAAAAAAAATTAAAAAAATAAAATAAAAAAATACTGCCCTCAAGTGGTTTATTTCATATTTATTTGATCGAAAACAGTTTTGCAAGGCGGGAAGTGCAGCATCGTCAACAAAAAATATACGCTGTGGAGTTCCACAGTGTTCAAATCTCGGTCCATTGTTATTTCTCTTGTATGTCAACGATCTCCCGAACTGTCTAAGACACTCTAGTGCTGAAATATATGCGGATGATACGAATTTGACGGCGTGTTCCGATGATATTAACAATTTACAAGCCATTTTAAATTCGAACTTGAATTGAACAATATCCATCAATGGATAGTAGCCAATAAATTAACTTTGAATGTTGGTAAAACAGAGTATATGCGGATTATCGGGACACGGCATAAATTAAAAAATTTCTCAAGTGAAATGAATATTAACATCGGTGGGAAAACTTAACACAAGTCTTTTCTAAAAAAGTCTTAGGCATAATAATAGGTGATCAATTACGCTGGGATGAACAAATAGAAACGTAAGTAACAAAGTATCTCAAGGCATCGGCATGTTACGACGAGCTAAACAGTTTGTTAAAAGAGAAACGCTTCAGTTTCTTTATAATTATATGGTTCAACCTTATTTTGAGTATTGCTCCTTGGCTTGGGGCAACTGCGGCGAATCCCTGAAGGAAAAACTGCAGAAACTTCAAAACAGGGCAGCAAGGGTCATTACAGGTGATACTTATGATATACGTTCAAACGATATTTAAAAAAAGTTCAATTGGAAAAACCTATCCGTAAAAAGAAAAGAAAAAGCAAGTGCGTATGTTTCAAAAGCTATTACCGGAAATTGCCCGAAAAATATGGCTGAAAAGTTTAAAATATCAAATTCTGAAAGATATGATTTAAGAAGCAATAATAAATTTTTAGCACTGTTTAGAGGCTAGTTGGGCCAATTTATATGCACATAAAATAATTTTTAATCGGCAGCCATTTATGAAAAGGGTCTATAGGCATAGAACATGATGTACGGTTGCAAACGTACGTTTTACATGTAATACAACGATATTTAGTGGATTTTTTGCAATTAGAACATGGATGTTGTTTACCACCATGTTGAAAATCACTATTCGTGGAGTCCACGAAGTGTGTTGTTATTGATTTTAGGGTACAGTTGTGGATAACATATCTAATTTAAATAATTTATTCATTTTATTAAATGAGACGGAAATTCGACGTATAAATCACTGTCGCGTTTCGGTCGCATTACACGATCATGTCGCAAAATTCGACAGCGTCGCATTTAACGCATCCCGTCGGATTTAATCAATTTATACGTCGAATGTTCGTCGGATATCATGACTTGACTGAAATTCGACGCATTAAATTTGACTGAAATTCGACGTTTAATAAACTAGGCCTTAGGGCTCCTAAGTGTATGCAGTGTGATAAGGCAGTTAAAGTAAATAACAAACGGTTGTGTTGCAACTACTGCTTAGAACTAACTCATATACGATGTATGTCGCTTAAGAACCGTTTAATCCAGCATGACAACTATTGGACATGTCCAAACTGTTTGCGAAGGGAACTACCATTTTATAATGTTCGTGATCTTAACGAAATTGACAATGATATACTAGGATTAGAGCTAGAGGACGATTGCTATGTTGACCCACATTTGGAAATACTCTCTCGAAGTTCAAATCATTTGCGCTTATGTCATATAAATTGCCGGTCCCTGCTATCGACATTTGATGAACTTGTCCATTTGATTTCAACGTATACATTCGATATTTTGACTTTATCTGAAACATGGCTTCGAAATAATACTCATCAAATCGCACATGTTCAAATTTCTGGGTATTCATTAGTATTCAAGAACCGCGGTGAAAAGCGCGGGGGCGGTGTTGCTGTTTATCTCAGAGAAGAATTAAAATACAAAGAAAGAAATGATTTAATGACGGTTGAGCCATCCGTAGAGCATATTTGGATAGAAATTTCAGGAAAGAATAAAAACAGTAATGTATTATTGGGTGTTTTTTATCAGCCAGATTCCGATCCTGCTAGAAAAGTCTTGTGGCTTGAAAAATTTGAAACAATCTTAGCAGTAGTACATTCAAAATGGGATGGTATTTTAGCAATAGCTGGTGACGTGAATATTGATTTAAAGAATTCTTCAACAACCGCCTATAAATATGAAGCAATATTGCGTTCATTTAATCTTAGCCCGCGTGCAGGCCCAAGGGAACTGATAGTGGGCCTGCAAGCAAGGCCCGGTATTTTGTAAAACGCCCCTTTTCATAACACGCCCCATTCGCGCGTCAATTGTCAAAAAAGAACCAATGACAGCAACCCAAATATTAACAAACAAACTCGCATTAAAATGTTGCGGGGTTTTCTCTGCTTTAATATTCAAAATAGAAACAATGTGTAAATGGCTGTAAATGCCTGTGTTAAAACTCCAAAAAAGCAAGCAACGCAGTCAATAATTGCCAAATTTACAAGTGCTCATTTTCAACTAAAATCGGAACAGGCAAATTAAGACGAATTTCAACAGAAAACCAGTCTCAAACTTCAAATCGTGAGGGAAGTCGTGCGACCACATCAGCATTTATAATGTTGCTTCGCTGTCGCCATTGTTATAAATAAATTGTCTCACTTATCAGATCGTGTGTGCAATTCTTGTTGGCGGCGGAAAGTACGAAATTTATTTCAGTTATTTCATTTGGTGAGAACTCTACAAAAGAAGAGAGCGTTCAGAGTCCAGATCGTTTCGTTTCAAACGGCAATTTAATACCGTCTTTTGCTCTCTCAGCGAAGCCTTGTAAATCGCAAAGTATTTTGAATAGGCTTACATGCAACTGCATCTCAACATCAACCAAAAGATCATTTTCTTGAGGAACATATAACGTATCAAGTCTGTTTGAAATTAATGAAACTCAAGTAAAGGTTACTATAGTTTTATACCCCATTCGTATTAAATGTTGCATTTCCGACAAGCAATCCTCATTGGCATAACGGCAAAAACATCTCTTCCTTCAAGTAAACAATAAACAGTCTGTTCTTGTTCCATTTGTAATCGAAAAAAGTGATCAATTTTCGAAATTTAAGCTTATCGAGAGCCTTTGTCTATGCCTTTGTGATGAATCACTGACCTAATTATAGAATCCAACAGCAAACAGCCAATCAGAATGCCGCGTTCGTGGGCGAACGCGGAAAGTACAAAATACCGGGCCTTGCTTGCAGGCCCACTATCAAGTTCCCTTCAGCCTGCTCCCTTGGGCCTGCACGCGGGCTAATTTAATCTTAGCCAGCATATTAAAGACCCTACTCGTAAGGGCAAATGGTTAATTGACCATATCATAACTAACATTCCACATAACGTGGTAGCAACTGGTGTTCTACCTGCACCTGAAGTCAGCGACCATGACATGCCATATGTTATTGTCAATTCAAGACTAAGTAGATTTGAAACCAGATTTAAATATATTCGATCCGTGAAATCATTTTGTTCTGAAGAGCATTTGCGGGATATTAGAGAATTACCGTTTTCGCTGGAATATGCAGTAGATGATCCAAACGAAAAGATCACTATACTAAATGAATTGCTCCGTAGGTGCATCGACCAACATGCCCCACTTGTGCGATGTAAGATAACTCTACCTCCTGCTCCTTGGCTGCAAGATGTGAGCATTAAACATCTACAGAAAGAGAGAGAGACCATTGACGATTTACTGCCCATCAAACCCATGCATGAAGCAGAGTCTGACTGATCACTGTTCCGCTCAGTTCGTAATAAAATCAAAACAGCTATAAAAACTGCAAAACAAACATTCTGTTCAAAAGCGTTATCATCAAAACGCTCGAAGGTTGTTTGGGTGATAATACATCGAATATTAAACCCAAATTAGGAAGAAAATCCGTCACGACCAGGATGAGTTGAACAAGTTTTTTGTGACTACCTCAGAACGCATTTTGGGTTCGTACCCGAACCAAAGAGTCGATGTTGTCGAATATCTTGACTCCCTATCAGAATATAGTGGGGATACGTGCTTTAGGATGCGAAAGGTAAATTTTGGCGAAGTAAGCAAACAGCTTAATGGTATACGGAATGATTGTTCTACAAATCATGACCATCTGCCTGTGAACTATTTGAAAATGGCTTCCCAATATATTATCTCTCCGTTGACCCATATAATTAACGAATGCATCGCACACAATATGTTTCCTTCCTCATGGAAAATAGGACGTATTAGTCCTATCCCGAAAATCAGTGAACCGATAGAGAATAGTGATTTTAGACCAGTGTCAATGCTGCCATTTTTATCAAAGGTATTTGAACGCCTGGTGCTATCCCAACTTGTTGAGTATATTGAAGAACACAGTTTGTATAAAGAGACAATGTCCGGTTTCCGTAAGGGTCACTCAACCATGACCGTTCTGTTGAAACTTAAGGATGATATCTGAGAGCAATGAAAAAAGGGGAAATAACATTGGCAGTTTTCACTGACTATTCAAAGGCTTTAGTGATACGGTTGATTTCCAGGTGTTACTGAATAAATTTCATCGGATAGGTTTTTCAAAGGATTTTTTTATATGGATTTATAGTTATTTAGATGGCAGACAACAGTTTGTACAAATTGATCATGACCGACAGTCAAGATTGCTACCAGTAACATTCGGTGTTCCACAAGGGTCAATTCTGGCTCCAGTTCTCTTTAATTTATATATGGCATGTCTACATGGTGAGAAATCATCCGATTGCAATTATCTACAATATGCGGACGATACTAGTTTATACAAACATTGTGAGGTAAAGAATTTGGATAACTGTAGCGAGTTAGGGATAACTGTAGCGAGGGAGTTAGCCCGGGCTGATGGCTGTTCAACAAATTCGAACTTGCTTTTGAATCCTGGTAAAACCAAGATGATGATATTTTCCACAACACAGACGCACTCACAATCTTTCCTCCCTGGACTTGGTTAAAATCAACATCAATGATCAGTATATTGAACGTAAGTCTTCTTGGAACGTCCTGGGAGTAGTCCTAAGAACTAAATGAGCATTTAAAATCGAATCCACATTTGGAAAAGGTAATAAGATCAAGGTATTCGTCCCTGGCTTGCTTGAGGAGGCTGAAACGTTTCACGCCGTTCTCATTGAGAAAACAATTAGCAGAATTATTGATTTTATCCAAACTGGATTATTGCAATTGCCTATACGGATCCTTGCCTGATTATTTGCACAAATGACTGCAAAAAGTCCAGAATGCTGCGGCAAGTTTCGTGATTGGTAAATTTGCGAAAGTGAATGATGTACTAACATTGGGATAGCTACCAATCAAAGAAAGGATTGAGTTCAGTATTGCGAAACTGGCGTATCAGGCCCTAAGAGATGACAAATGGCCAAGTTATCTATCGCTCCAAGTCAAAAGAGTTTCAAGAGTTCTGCGTAGTAACTGTGACGGTGGTTTGAAAATTGAATATTCTAACATTGAAGACAGTTTTCAATCCAATGCTGCTATATATATATATATATATATATATATATATATATATATATATATATATATATATATATATATATATATATATATATATATATATATATATATTTAGTAATAGTTGGGTTGATTAGACACCGTGTTAAAAGATGTGAAAATAATAATAATAATAATAAAATAATAATAAATAACTACATGCGATTGATTCTTTCAATACCACGCATTCCAAAACCTACAAGTAAATAATTTGTTCAGCGGATTGGAATTAAACAGAGAATGCTGAACAGAAATCAAACAAAACGCGACAGAGCCTTATATTTTTCTTTCTCATGAATATCATGGATTCTGATCGGCAGGGTACATGATCAATTGAAACTGTTTTATATGCAAGTTTTTGGCACAGTCGACCCCATTCAGAGGGGTTATTACAAAGGCGAGATGTTCGCTCAGCTTCTCAAAGTTGTATATATTCCGTATCGGACAGCTGTTTTATCCGGTATAGTATGAACGTAGCCTCTGTACGTCTTTTATACGAAAATAAATTATTGAAATTCCAGTCAATGACAGACCGGACGAAAATTTGAAATGAATATTAAAAATGAAAATTGCATTGTATCTGCACATTTTGACTCAGTATTCCAATAAACTTAATAATTTGTTATTGCTCACCATGGCAACCTGACAATGAGTCGCACGTTATATTAATAATAGCTGCTAGAAATGTTTCCAGGCCGCATTTGTACATGCATTAGACTACGGTGTGTGTAAGCAATCGGAAAAGTGCAATAAATTAGAAATAGTCTTTCCGCGCGCTGTTCGATAAAATTATTGCCAATCGAGATAAATCTAAACTGACATAAACGGGCCAGCCCGTTTGTCCATATAAATGCATGGGGATTTCCACCATAAAAATAACTACTGAGTAAGATGTTGCTTAGTCGGTAAGCTGAAGCGTCTTACATGGCTGGTTTGACAACTGCCAGATCCATTATTAATTTTACAACTGATAGAAACCTAGTTAACAGTTTATTTTTCTATCCGTTTATTTTCCCTGACTTGAAATAAACTAACATATACATGCAATCTTTACTTATGATTGGTGAAAGTATGCTTGATCATGATCAAATTATTATAATTGCATAACAACTGTATCCAAGACATTCCTGAAGTATTGTGTTTCCTTCACGAAAAACACTTTTCAATTTTACATATTTAAAAATATTCTATCAATATTCTATCTAGAAATTTCTTTTATCCGGACAATAGGCAATATAAATTCCAGCTTTTAATTTATGCACGCAGTCGGTGATGGGAAGTAAGGTATCATATTGCTGATTATGAGCGAGAATTACAAGATAAATCCAGTCGAATTTTAGTAGAATTTTTTTACAGGTTCTTATTGATGATTTTTTAATATATGGTATGTGTTATGTGCATGCATATACAATAGAGAGCCTGAACTGAGCAACCGATGTATGCCGACCGGAAGTCAATCGAGCTGTAATAGATTACGAGTGATGGCGTCAGCAGTTCTTCTTTCAAATAAAGAATTGCAGTCTGGGCAAACAGCAAGAACTGTTTTGCCATCACTCGTCATCTATTTTCCACTCGACTGGCTTCCGATTGGCGTACGACGGTACGTGTTGTAAAAAACATCGTTGGCTTTCGCCCTCTCATATCACACTGAGAAATTTAAGGCATTGTATGTAAACACTGATATACATGCTTTGATTTACCGTACAAGCTACCTACAAACGGAAGATATCATTGCCATTGAAACAGTTTTCATTTTTGAAATTGGCAGTCAGTGATCGGATGAAAATTCCATGTATATACCCACGCTTTTTGGCTCTTTGTTATCTTTGAATAATTATCCTTGCTTGCGTTTTTATCACCAATGACAACATTGCTGACGTCAGTTGAGCAGCCAAATGTATGAATAGTCTCGTGAATAGCCGTTCATCAGAGTATCAGAAAGTATCCTCCTACTTCATACATGGTAAAAACATTGAGCATCGCGGTAAATCTTATGGCATGATTTTCCCCGATAACGGGAAATAAAGGTCTGGGGCCGGTTGTATAAAAACGTAGTTAGCGCTAACTGCAGTTAAAAAGTAGTTAAAAAGCCTTAAAAAATAGTTAACTTTAATCACGTAGTTAAGCCGGTTGTATAAAAGTGTAGTTAGCCTTAACTGCAGTTAAAAAGTAGTTAAAGTTAACTATGCTTTAGGGTATAGTTAACTGTCCAAAACGTAGTTAAAAATGGTGTTTGTATAGGAGTGAACAACATTTTTCAGTAAAACAACAATGAAAAGCAACGGTTACCTGACATTTTCAATCGCTATCTTCCCTGTGAATGTTTCCTGACAATATAAACTCTTCAAACGCTATGGCTTTGGTGTTTTCACGAAAGCAGAACATATT